GCGTCTGATGCTGGTTGATAATTGTACATTGCCAGCTACTCAAATAATTAAAGTTGATTGAATTAAAGTTCCTCGATCGACGAGGCGGATAAGAGAAATTTACCGTAAATATCTCACGGGTCCAATGAAATGATTTCTGTACGTCACAAAAAAGAGCTTAATAAGATTATGGTGCTGTGAGGTAATCTGTCGCGCCCTAATCTGAAAAGGATAAGCGTAAAATATCTAATGCCCAGGATCTACTGATCCACATGGTAGAGATCATGAGTAAAAACTTTAATATGAAAGGTAAGGATAGACTCGTCAAATGAAATTGTACATTTAGTCACATTTTTTAATTTTTAATTAAATGAAGTCAATTGAACGATCTGCTTCGATATAATGGTATTATATTCTTTATTAAAATTATTCATCTTTTATAAATCACACGCCTAAATCTCACAATTTTTTTTTCATTCTTTAATCTACTTATAAATGAACGGTTCGTTTCGGGTCAGTAATTTTGGGCCTGAATTAAGGCTGTTTCACTTCTGTGGATTGTATGTTCGAACTTCACGGAATTGATTTCCCTCCTCTCTTAATTAACACTGTAAATAATTATAAATTAATCAAAAAAAATACCTATAAATAATTATAATATATTAAAAAAATTAAGTCAAACCAACCTATTGCTTATTTTCATAAAAAATTAATCTAGACAGAAAGCTAATTGTCACTTTTCATGCATAAAAAGTAGCAGTGGTGTGACATAGTAAAGAACTCCCAGGAACTACTGATCCACATGGTAAGGACTATAACCTAAAACCTCAAATCAACGGTCAGGAAAGCCTCGTTAGATGGAATTGACCACAAAGACGCGTTTTTTAAGTCTAAGCGTGTATGTCAAATTGCAGTTGTAAGGTTTTTTTTATGTAATTATATAATATTTTTAAATATTTATATGTTTAATAATTTATTTAAATTATTATTATTATTATTTTGACCAGTGAAAAATTAAGGGGTGAAAAAATAATTATAATATTGTTGTATTGACAGTTTGAATCATTGACAAAGAAGTTAAGGAGGATAGTGCACTTCCAAGTGCATTTAAATTATTTTTTAAAAAATATAAAAA